CGCCACAGTACCGAGGGAGAGAATGTTAAATTTACGCCGATTCACGGCGGGAGTGCAATACATAGATTTACGAAAATATATGTACAGTTTGGTCCCCACCAATTTGTGATCAGTGCCACACTCAGCTTCCCGCAGTACACGTGTCATGCGCACTTCACGCATATCACGCTGACGTAAGATGACATAGTCGAGCAGGTGAGCGTGACCACTCCGTGGGTGCGTCCAAGTTGCTATATCACTCGCACTCAGTGCAAACCGAGTGTTCGTGATTGTCAGGCCGTGAGTGGCACACAGTGAGAGCAGCCTGTCACCGTTCGCATTCGCTGAACCAATGCTATGCGCACCGATAACATCTCTCCACACCGATGCATCACGCCCAATGCGCGTTGAAATCACCTAGCAGAAATAGTCGGTCGCTCCTCGGCACAGACCGTATCACGGAGGATAGCTCAGTGTAGAATTGATCACGCGTGTCATCAGGATAACACATGGTCGGACCGTACGTGCTTATAAAAGTAGCAAACTTACCTCTTCCGAGTCGTAGGCGAACAGTCATCAGTCTCGCGCTGATGCCTGTTGGTTCACCCACGAGCTGGCCATTCAGGCGATCGGGTGTTGCAAATCCGACCCCACGTTCACGTGGAGCGGAGGCTGCGTTTCCCACCCAGTAGAATGTGTAGCCAGCACCTGCTTCATGCAACTCACCTTGCTCAGCGTGCCGGGTTTCACTGAGCGCCTCAATATCGATGGTGTAGCGCGCCATATCCATTGCGACTAGTGCAGTGCGTCGCTCCGGGCGCTCGCTGGAGTTCCGGTAAAGTAGTGTGCGCACGTTCCAGCATCCGATGCTGAGTGCTTTGCGCGCAGGCACACGATTGCATTGGTGGGCAATCGCACGCCAGGTGGTCGTTGTGCTTCGGAGGTTTGCTTGTAGGGACTCCGCCCTGAGCCATTGGCTCAATAGCCTGACCCACAAGGCAGTGAAAAGCAGATCCAGCTCGGGAATGTGATTGCAGAGACAGATGGGGATCTGCTTGACGGCCGTCACACGCAGCCTTTGAAGTTCTGGAACTTTTTATATATGTTTTGCGACCGTAGTAGGATACGCACCTGCAACCACGGCCAGACGCAGGTGGGTTTTGGCGGGTTTGCACCAATTTGACCAGGGGCTACCTGGTTTGAGGCGGGAAGTAACAAACCATTGAACACCAGGAGGTGTCCTCCCACCGTCAGAGACGATGCGTGGCGCTCGTGCTCTACGCCAATGGAGCTGTGAGCTTATAACCCCTAGACCTGTTGTCTCCCATGGCTAGGTTTTACGGGAAGTGGGTCATAGACCACTTCCTAACCTCCGAAGAGGATGGACTATGATACTGGCAAGGCGCCCACACCTGACAGGAGAACGACTCGGGTCCTCAGCCAAAGCCTTCGGTTAAATGAACACCCGAAAGGTAGCGGGTCTAACACATGGTCAGTTAGCCAACTCATGCCGATTGGTGTCCTGGATCTTAGCAGGGAGAAGGGCGAAACCCAGCTCCCACCCAGCGGTCGCCACGTGGAGGCGCCCAGGACATGAGACTATGGTGCGACAGTAGCAGCAGCGAGTAGACCATCTGTCAGGGTCTAGCCACCACCAGCCTCAGCGCATCATAGGCTCTCCCGCCACTTACATACATATATGCACCCATACACACATCCATTGTCATTCCAAACAGGTATTTTGTATAGTTTGATCACATTATTTTAACTTAACATGATCATGCCTGTAAAGTTGTACCTCGCATTGTAGAGAACAAAAGTTTAGATGTTTGTTTATTTATTTACAAAGCTGTGATTGGCTTCACGGTGTTTGTTTCTTGCTTGCATTGCGTTGCGACTGAGGAGAAATCGAAATGTTGATAGTTCGCAATCTGTGTCATTTCTCTCCATTATTAAACTGGATAAAAGGGACCCAGTGTTCCAAAGCAAGAGTGTGTGTGGTGTCCACAGTATGTGTCAGTGTTACAGGGTACCGGGGTAGAGTGCGTGCTTGGACAAATTTCTTATGCGCGCATAGGTCAGGGTCAAGAAGCCTGATGGCTATTGTCTCGGTCGCTGCCAGTAGACGACAGCTAACCGCTCTTGTGTGGCATCTGGGTACGCGGTAGATGGGCTGGAACGCCTCATGCGACCTGACTTGGCGCCTCGAATCGGCAATGTGTGCGGATATTGCGGTTGCCGCTGACCTAGTCACGCTGCTATACAGCCAAGCTGGACAGTGTTTACTGGTTCTCTCGGACGGTTTCCTGATGGTGTCTTGAGCGACACGAACAAGAGAACGAGTATAAACGATAAGTAGTACTTGACCTTGGAATTCTGTCCTGAAGTTGCTATTCAGGGTCGGTACTGAGTTGAAGCGTAGCCGTAAACTTTCTTCTTCTTAGGTTTGAGCGATGGGGTCCGAAATTCACCTGTACCATTTCGCAGTTGATTGCATCCTTAACGTATTCGCTTGTTGCCGTAGTGCAGCAGCTTTCATTTTTCGCGCAAAACCCGAATCCCTTATTCACGATAATTGCATCCACTACACCCTGAGTGACGGACCGCTATCAGCCAATAGCATTCGGACGATATGTCGGCATGGCTAACATAGACGTAGTTGGGCATATAGCCATCACGCTTTGGGGTGGGTAGCAAAAATTGGCAACACTTAAGCTACACCCACGCAACGTAGTAGACACACGTGTGGTCAGATTGAAATCATCGGCAGTTCATATCCAGCTACACGGACTTCAGCCATCCGCTCGTCTAGGTACGCGCCAGCATTGGACAACAAGAGGGGTGGAAGCAAGAGCTTGTTCACGAACTGGTTCTAAACGCCAAAGCCTTGGATGTAAAGATAAAACGAAGTCAGCACAGAACTGGACAACGCAGACGTAGCAGTGAACATTTCCAAAATATGGGATCACGCGTCATGCCTTGAGCAGACCTGTGGTGAATGTAGTAAAAACGGTCTCACACGGAGGGCTTGAGCGCGCAAGCGAGATGTCCGTTTGAGTTGAGGTGACACATGTCAAAAGATGGTCAGAGTGAACAATGTTCCGAAATGTTCTCTGCAAGGTACAGATACGTAATTTCGTTTTGATGGGAGATTTAATCGTGAATTGATTACAACTGCTACCAAGAAAGTTGTGCTTCTATCAGTGCCCCTCAAGGAAGTTATTGCCTCCGATTTGCTGAACAAAAGTTTCCACAACAGTAGCGCAAACCTTCCTAGCTGCCTATCCACACGTCATTGTCGAAACCGCGTCGTTTATTGCTCAACGTCCCAAAGACTAACCCGGTCCAGTCCAAAGCTTACCTTCTATATCAATTTACTTGTAAATGTGGTGTGAAGTACGTCGGACGAACGACTAAGCGTCTGTCTAAACAGACATCGGAGAACTGTCTCACGGTATGGTAGAAAGACACTGTCGGTTACATCAAGAGTTCCATCCTGAGTCATCTGTTCAGAAGTGGAGACCAAATTAGGGCTTCCGATGCTTTCAAAGTATTTTATGTCATAACAAATCGCTATCGCAAAGGGCCTAGGAAACGAATGTTACGGACATCCGAAGCCATTGCAATCAGCCACCCACAACCTGAAATGTGCAAAGAGCGCTTGTTCGAGCGTTCCTTTGCCCTGGGGTTGACATACTTCCAGACATCCTTCACTCCACACCGGGTGATGGGTGAGTCACCAAACCAATCAAAAAGCACGTGCCATGTCTCGTGAGTTTGTGTGTGTGGATCTATGCCTACGTGTGCGGTGGTAGCTGCTGCTTGAGTAGATCGACCAATTTAACGATTAAAGCAGCTCAATTTCTGCCTCCTTTTAATTCATCAATTTTTACCGCGCTTCACCAGTTTATCCTGTAATAAATTGCTATTTTAGAATTGTAAACACCTGATGAGATTTACCGAAAAGAGTACTTTTCGCAACCATACCTTCTAGCATTTTCATGGGTATACTCTTCGAGTTACTCATAAATTCATTTATTAACAGTGCTCCTAACATTGCTACTCGTCTTTCTCTATAAGTGTTTCCGTCGAGCTATAACCCTATGTTCTTGGTACACATCAAATTAACTGTTCAACTCGGTCGTTCGAGAGGCCGACACTCAGATGCTGCGATCGAACTGCATCACTTAGGTATTCCGTGATCACTTCTAGCAGTGAAAATTGACACTACATCTAGAGCAAACATTTTGTCTTATGGAGTCTACTTAGCTGCGAGTATCTCAGAGCCTACGTTCGGATGACTTATCTGATCGGTCTAGAAGCTTAAGGAGCCATTTCGTTAGTTAGTGATATGGAGAATCACACATTACTAATATTTGTCCTCATTGGAAGTCCTTCTTTATGCACCTACGGTAAGCCATACAGGTGTGGAATCACTGTGCCGGAGAGACGCATGTATTCGAACACGATTGAGTCAAATGCATTCTCTTACTTCAGGCAGCTTAATAGCTTTGTAACTGTCTTTGCTATTGAAGTCCTATTGTCTTTCTCTTTCTCCGTCATCCGGAATTTCGAATGATCGCTGCGGATGGCGTTCATCTTGTTGATGAATGTTTCCAACTCCTGTAACTTTATACCTCGTCCAGCTGCTTCAACAGATTGATTGTAAACTGAAAGCTTTTATTATACAAAAACATTGGCAACTCTTTCAAAATACTACTGTTTGTCTAAGATAGTAAACGGTTGGCAGTTTCAAGGCGTTACTAAACGCAGGCTCGTCCAGCGTTGTTGCACAGCATCAGTTGGGGCAATCAGTTAGATCGCTGGTGTTCTACTTACCCGATTGTTTATGCACGTTTGTTCCACCTAGGTAAGCTAGTTTATACCTTGTACATAATGCGTTTGCTGCGAAAGAAAGGAAATGAAATATTGGCGGATCCTTTCCCTGAAGCAATAAAATCTTTGCTTGAGTTTCAGGGCGGTTTATTCTGCCATGTTTTGTTTACTTCTTATTGTGTCAGGCCGAACAACTTCGTTTGCACAATCAACACCTTCAAGTGGTGATTCACAATCAGGAGAGCCAGCTGAACAGTTTGGAATCGGAGAACGCCCAACTTAGTAAACAGCTAGAGAGGCGGGAAATTGAGTGGGAGCTTCGTGAATGCGAGCTGGAAAAGGCACTGTACGCTTCCAAAGCAGCACAGGTGGGCTCAACAATACTTTGGCGAGGTTAAGGTCAATCGCTCCAAGCACTGAGTAACCGGTCGACGTATATTTTTGTGTTCCCAATGCATACGGATTGCTTGCTGGTGTTGTTTTATCAGTAGTATTCTACATCACCTATCTTCCCAGTCTTGTTTTGCCTACCAGCGTTCTGTTATGAGTAATGTTTGTACCGGAGAGATTTCTAGGACTGAGAATGTATGTGTCTAGTTTGAATCCCTTCCTGTATCATGATCACATATCACCGTGAAGGAGAACGGCGGTTTCATAGTTGGGATTCTCTTTACCTGCTACAAGCTCTCGGTTAGCATTTCAGCTTTTTCTGTAGCAACCAGAGTTCTCCATCAGTCATTAGCAAGCACACCACGCCGAATTTTTGAAACTCCTGACGCTCCTCCTAAAGTGCTCGCCGGAACTCAGCCAAGATGCACCTTCTTGCAAATTGCTGCATTTTAGGTAATTGTGTTGGGCCGTGGCCAACGAATAGCAGTGTACTAAATAGAACCTCATCGCATGCAGATCCGGAAAAGCACTGTACGGCCGTTTCATCCCTTCGGGAATCGTCAACAGTGCGCATTCCATCTGGCCGTTATGGATACAGAACCCACAACGCGACTGTTACCGTTACCTAATGAGGACCATTGGACCAGATTCACTACTGTGGTGATGAGATGCGCCGCTCATTATCAGCTGACTCGCACGTTGCTGTCATGTAGAGGACAGGGTAGTCCCCTCACCAAACGGAGTGTCAAGGCTAAACTGCCCTTATGTGTCCCCTTGCTAGTGATAGTCCACTAAAATTATCCTCGTGATTGTATGTGCCGGCACAAACTGTTTATTTGGATCATATAGTCCCGAAATCGGTCAACCCCGTCGCCTTGTGGATTGCGGTGCCGGCATCGTCCATCCCAAGAGGCCGCTTTGGTCATGAAACCCATTCCAACAGGAATGCTATGTACCACACGAAAGAATTTCGTATTCAGGCGATGGTTGCTTATGAAATCTCTGCGTAGACGGTTAGCAGATGGGTTATTTGACTTTGTTACTTAGTTCAAGGGTTTTACATATTTAGGGCCTTCTCCCCTTAAATGGATGTTAAGCACCATTTCTAATTGAAAAGAAGACGGTGCACGGTAAGTGTGTTCTCCTATATCTTGGTTTGCATTCTATCTGAGCACTTTGGTGGTCTAAATGAGACAAACTCTTTTAAGGGGCCACGGAGGAAACCAAAATAGTACACCAACTCACAGACATCAAACAATGGTATTTTATGCTGTTATAACCGTCAGTTTAGGATAAAAGCGTTCATCACCCTCAGGCTGATCATGCCAACCCGCAGCTTCACCGCCTACACTTAATTCGGTCTCATGAGGTTGCCTGTCGAGTACCGTTACCATCATCAATTTGCACTTACTCTAAGCGCTCTTTAACTGTCGGTCCGGGCCAGTGGTCTAAAAGAATCATTACACTGATCAACCAGATATGGATGACTTAGTGGGGCTGACACTGTGTTCCAGCAATTAAACGCGAAATACGTTGAAAGTTGACGGTTGTGGAAGAAAACGCTACAACTCGCTCCTTACCTGGACGATCGAACTGGCGTGGGAAGTGACGATTAGTCGTAAGAAACGCTGTTATTTGTTCCACGGCCCGAGTAGTCCTTTGTCTTGAATGAAAACCAGCGTGACGCAGTTCTGCTTATATACATCTATCCGTTTTCTACTCAGACGACAGCTAGGTACTCAAGAGCAGAGACTATCCGACCGAAGATATTTTTATTGTTTAGCTCAGTTGACATTACCGAGGTCACGGTAGTACAGCTACCTCTGAACCAGCGTCGCGACGATGTACTGAAGCTTCACCGCCACACACAATTGTTAGCAGTTGTATGCAGATTGGGATACGATGCCCTCAACCTCACCTACCCGTACTCGAGCCTGTGTTCCACAGGTCATAAGGCAAACACATGAACCACTGCAAAGCAGTACAATGATTGCACAATAAATTAGCATGATCACGGCGCATTACTTCCATATCAAGCAGCTATATTTTTTATCTGCATTTACACGAATTTCAGCAAGAAACCGTGGCAGCTACGGACAAACTTGGTATCACTGAGGAAGTGGTCACTATGGCACATTCAATCAGTGAGACGGAAGCAAACCCCTTCGGTGACCTTCAGGCTAATCGTATGCCGAATGCCGAACTTCCTGTATCCGAACAATTGAAGGAGGCGTTGACTATCATCAAGCGCAACGTCCTAACAATACTGAATCAGCGCGTGGAGATTGAAAGTTTGAAAAAGGTAGTGTGAGCGAGCAATGTAATAAGTATGCGCCTAGAACTCCAACTGCATATAACAATTAAATGATACCATAACCAACTAGATAGTTGGCTAGACTAACAACAATACGATTGTGCTACAGTGTCTTTCTTGTTGCAAATGTTGTAGCTGTATGATGCTGAATGATAACTATGGGTAGTTGGTGTGGTTCAGTGTATCGCCCTGCATAAGTTGGGGATATATATCCTTACAAAATCCAGTATCTATGATAAATCTAGTCAGCATTCAACTCAATTGGTAGGACAACTGTTCATCAAACCAAACGAATGCGTATATTTCCTTTTAAGCAAAAAACTGTTAGCAACTAACATTTGATCAATAATAACACACATTTGTCAATAGTATATAATCTAAAACCGTTGATTCACCGGCGCCGCTGTTTCAGTCCTGCCGTCAGGACATGAATTGTAATTTGGTGAAACCTGACTAAGAAATATGTCTCCTCATTAAAAGTGAATAGTCGCAACCATAACAATTACATCCATTACAGACGGTAGAGTCAAAGTTAACTAACAGGGTTAATTGTGTTGGAAGCTGAGTTGATTGAAGGCGATTTCAAAGATATCGTTTAGAGGAGAACGCTTAGGGTCGTTCCTATGTGGTTAGGGGAAGAAGAGAGTACTCGTTTCCAGTTAACTTTTCAACCAAAAGCTAGCAACATAATTCTGGGGTTCAACTGCTCATACAGTTAGTCTCATGAGTCTTGTCCCTTCTTACTCTGTTACTTGGGGACCAAGGGTCACGCCTTCTGGTGAGAGGAGAGTGCACTAAATTGCCAACTATCCAAATAGTAGATGTTTGGTCTCATTCAAAATGTCCATCACCCGGTCACATGGGTGTGAACGACCAGAGTGGTGGTCGTATGCATGCATTTGGGCACAGTTATATACTTGCCAGTCTCCTCCATCGTGAAAACGTTGGATGGGCGCGGATTGTTGAGTTGAAGTCAACTACGAACGCCACAGGGCAAGTTCACCGATCGACACACCGTGTTTCGGGCTAGTTGGAATGAATGCAGGCGTGCAAAATCAAGGCATCAGTGCATCAGTACCTGACTACTGCGGTAGAATTGTGGTGGCGCTTGCACAGGCCTAACTGACCTAACCAAGAGGTGTTCAATAGGTGCTTAGTGTTATTCCAGCTAGTGACAAATGGATTGTTGGCAGCACTATTATAGACAGAAAGTTAACTCCCAGAAACCCAACTTAGCAAAATAGAAATTCCTTACAATAAAGGCCCTGCAAATATAAAATGTGACCTTTTGAGGAAGGAGTCTAGAAAAGCTATGCAGCCTAAAGACTACTCGCTGTCGTTTGGACTATTTTCCCGTCACTCTCTTGAGCTTTCATTCCAACATATTCACTGATGAGGCAATATGCTATTAGCATGGAGCTTAGAAGCTGCGTCCCTAGGCAATATCTAATCCTCGCGGATACTGAGATTTACATATTTCACAAATCATGAAGCTAATTACCTCGAAACTGTGACAAATTTGGGGACCACAGCATACGTATGTGAGTTCTCAGGAATAACCTCCATCACAAACCACTTATCCCTGGGGGGTTTTCTGACACATTAAGCTACCAACCTTGAATATCAAATTCAAAAAGGTGGATAAGCCACGCTTTCACGGTCTGTATTCTTATTTAAAAAGTTGTTGGACCTTCTTTCTTTCCTCTTTGTGTGACCGGTATGTTATTGTTTAGAAGCACTCATCCCACGCCAAAGTCTGAATGTCGATGAACACAATGAAAGTACGAAACCGCGTAGCTTATTCTCACATCACTATCTGGTTCACATCCTCCCCGTATTCCTTAGGCATAATCATGAAAAACCATGAACCAATTTGCATAGAAATAGTGAATCTAAGCGCTGTCGTATCAGCTTTGCTCCTTGAATTCCTTTTGGCCCGAGACACCTTTGGCACCATTTTCGCGTGTACCAATTTAGTTCAGAAATCAGTGATAACGGTGAATACGTACATTAACATAAAACATAACACGGTGATATGTCCGTCAACGAAGAAGATGTTCAAGGTGTCTGCCGGCGTTCTGCTTGCAGTGCAGAAATCGCCTGAGGCAATTGGCTATAAATTTCGCAAAGTTTCCGGGTTGCTGGGGAGACATTTGTTGACAATACTGTCTTTTAGCTGTTCCAGTAAAATGGGCATTGTAAACGTATCTTTTCAAATAAGCATATAGGAAGCAATGTAAGGTGGCTCAAACCTGATTACCAGACAGGCCAATCTTTTGGATCTCCGCGACCGATCCACCGGTGACCGAAAACCTCGTTGAGGTAATCCTGCACCGTTGGTGCGTAACGGGCAGGTGCAGCATATTGAAGCTATAACGGCTAAAGTGAAATGCCGAAGTCACCAAGGAGAATCGGTAGGGAAAAGTCTCCATCTCGTAGCTAAACATCCTCACTCCATCACTAAAGAACAGCTCCTATCCCATAAACAATAACTGCTGCCTATACAGTCCTGCAAAGATTACTCAGGAGCAAAGTTGTTCCCTTTATAACACCATTGCACTGATCAACTAATCACAGCGTGCATTTATTTTCAGCCGCTCCTACGTTACTTGTCAGCTGCTGTTCTTTCAACATGTGAGAACCATGATTGACAGAGGAATGGCGGTACTCATAATTGAGTGATTAGGTCAACACGAAGTTAAGGTCAGATCTGTATTCATTCTACCCCGACGAAGTATTGGCACCATCGCCCATCTCATAGACTGACCACTTCGGTGCAACTTGGTTCACAATGCCGATGTTGCTTTTCATGGTAATGCCTAAGGAATACGAGAAGGTTGTGAACAAGATGGTGATAAGAGAATAGGCTACGTAGTTTCGTATTTTTATTGTGTTCATCGGCGTACAGACTCTGGCAATGCATTCACAACACCCACCTGAGCAATCATCAGCATAAGTGTGGTAACGCAGTAAACCCATTATAATGCCGCATCAACTTCTCCCTTTGAGTGTGCTGGATGTGGAATCTCATTCACTGGTACACAATCTCGGTCAACACTGCACTGGCGAATAAAGCTCAGGCGCTGTGTTTACGTCCTTCGTGTGTATACAATCACGACGATATGGTCGCATGACCCCCTCTGTTTGCTCATGCTCATAAATTATCACTAAAGCATCACAACAATATTTGGCCACCATAAGCCCCTTAGCAGTTTCGACAGTTGACCAATGTTCCACCTTTAATCCAGAACCGCGACCGCTAACACCGCCATTTCGAACTACCTAATGCAAGGTAGGTAGCCTTCAAATATTGGTCTGCATGTGACTAAGGCGGCCATGTCGTTCACACAGACACATCGCTGTACGTCGTGGCTTTTATGCGGCGTTCCTTGTTATCGATTCAAGCGACATCCTGCGGCTGAGATTTCAAATGCGCACAGCCCTCGGGAGAAGATGGGTGAATCTAAACTGTCGGGTGCCCTTGGCAATAGGTCGGCATACTGTTTGCCTGTTGTTAAATCGGACTCCGACCGTCTGAAATAACCATGGATGGTCAAAAGGAAATGATAGGCGTCTTATTATCGGAATATTGAATCAATAAGGCATAACATGGTTTTCTACAGGCCTGGTCAAGTGGAACTTTGCAACTGAACGTCCTTAAACACACAATCATGTCTGCAGATGATGTCCGTTGAAGTCCGTGGAACCAAAAACCAGACTACGGCTGCCGGTGAATCTGTGAACGTCTCTCTGTGTGCCAATGTGCTAGAACCTGCGGTAAGGAGCTGCACCTATAAGCGAACATAAGCAAATGAACAAGGCCGAAAGCAAACGGAACAACCTTAGGGCTTCTTGTCACAGGGCCGACACATTTGCAACGTTACCATGTATATGTTATGTCATACTGAAGCTGTAACGGCTGAAGCAAGGTGCCGAAGTCGCTAACGAGAATCGACAACGGAAGTACTTGATCTTGGCTTGCCAGAAGCGCCTAACCCAGCCTACTGAACTTAAACGGCTTCTGTTCACCGCCGTCAACTTTACAATAAACATCAACAGCGACGCTTGCACCCTGTCGGACAATTGTGCGATCGTGCGTTTCTCACGTACCCACCTTGTTTTAGTTTCTCTTACTGTTCATGCTACCCCGAGGAAGTATTGGCTCCATCACCCATCGCAAGAATGTGTTAGTTAAATCAATCGTTATGCAGCATACATATATTTACATAAACTATGTTTCAAGAGCATAAAAATCAACGAAATAAGTGTTCAAAATGATCTCCGTCGTTTCGCTAGCGGTGCAATGGTCGCCAGGGGGTTCAAATTTGGTGAACGTGCAGGCCAATCCGTAGGTCCACCATGACCGATCCAACGATTACCGAAACTTTCGTTAGGGTAATCACGTACCGTTTGCGCAGGATGAGCAGGAGCATCATCCAGCTGCCACCAAACGGTACTTAATAATCCTTCGGCCTGTAGCTGTAGAATGAAGCAGGAGTGCAACATTTCTTTGTAGGAAGATGCTAACAAAGGTGAAGTCTTAGTTCTGATAAAAAATCAAGTTGCCCGTCATAGAAATCAATGAAGTAGATGTTCAACATGACGGCCGTCGTTTTGCTTGCAAAGTAGTACTCGCCGAATGCTATTGGCTAGCACTTTCTGCAAAGCGTCACTGTTCTCCATTGCTAACGCAGCGAAATGACCTCTGTGGCAGTGGGTAGCTTCTTTAATCTTCGTCACATCCATCGACCGTGCCTAGACCAATCAGTGCGGCGAATTCTTTCGTCATTGACCTCACGACCGGTTGTACTGTCTGCCCATCCAGCGTTGCCATGATGCACACAGTAGCCCGATACTGATGCACTGCTGCCTTGATTTCGCACGCCTGCATTCGTTCCAACTAGCCCGAAGCACGGTACGTATTAATCAGTGAACTTGCCCTGTGGCGTGCCGTAGTTGGTTTCAACTTAACAATCCGCTTCCCATCCAACGTTTACACGAGGGACGAGGCTGGCAAGTATATAATTGTACCCAAATGCATGTATACGGCCATCATTCTGGTCGGTCACATCCATGTGACCGGTTGAAGGACATTTTGAGAGGGACTAGCGTCTACTATTGGACAGTTGGCAAATTAGTGCGCTCTCCTTTCACCCGAAGGCGTGACCCTTGGTACCCAGTAACAGTAAAATGGGACAAGACTTATGGGTGTAATCACACATGCGTATTCATACTTGGTCTTCGTTTGAAGTGTTTTGTACTGGATCCGCCATTTTTGACCACTGTGGTATTTTCAGAGACAGTAGAATGCGTCATTTTATCTGAAAGTCTAGTGTTTTTATAACAGGATCTCGTACCCTTGGTAAGTTTGTTCCATGAATTTTGAATTTTGGCTCAAAAACACACTGCTAAATCGATCTCTCCGCTTTTATCGCCTACTATCTAATTTTTTACTATATTAGATTATCTAGGTTGGTTTGACCGCAAAGCCGTTAGCATACGCACATGGCTTGGTGACACTGAGGAGAGGGAATCAAATAGATTAGAGTAAAAATAGTATGTTTCGCGTGGTATTGAGAACCGTACCCACAAAGCGCTAGATCATATAGCCATAATTAACCGGCTCAGGCATGTAAAGTAGTCAGTCGACGGAGTGTATGCAAGGATACAACGGGATCGTTTCGATAAAATCTACATTTTTGGCTTTGATTGTCACTCTCTACTAGTTCCACAAGTATTTACAGTTGCCTCATCAAGATGTCTATTAGGCTGCAGAATGCCGATGGGCTCTCATGGTAGGAGAAAAAAAGCAGTTTGAAGCATCAGTCAAAAAGAACTGGAGAACAACAATCGTAGGTGAAAGCCTGTGACAAAAACCAAAAGAAAAGTACGAGACAAACCATACGTGGGTAACGAAAGGTCTGTGATTGAAAAAAAACTGGGACATGGATGGACGGGAGGTAACTGGGGTTGTTTTACGTCCATATGGTTCCTTGTTGGATTAGTTCAAGTGTTTGACAGTGGTAGCGGAGTAAATTGCGAGGGCATGCACAGATGAGGAGAACAAGTGAAGTGAAGTTCTTGAAAGATGCTTGGAACCGATCGAGTAGTCATGAGTTCAGAAAGGTTTAGAAACAATCGGTTGGTATAGTAGTTTGGCAACGTTTCGCCCTTGACACAGTAAGTGAAGTGTTGCATCTAACCTTTCCAAAACTAAACGTCAGATTAACATTATCGAGCACATTGTATTATGTTCCGCAAGTAGTTAGATGGTGAGGTGGATGTGGTGGCTTTTCACTCAGTCTTCGGTTGCATGTGGATTTTCAAGGTTGGCTTAGCCGTGTAACGAAGTGGGATTGTTGACACGATAAGGGGAAAAAGCAAGTCGGTTAGCTTCTTCTTACAGAGGGCACTTGGATGCGCAGACTGTCAGCCTGACATAGTCGGACTAAGCATCTAATTTGTCGCAGTATGAATAAGAGAAAAGATGAATAACCTTGGTTTTTTCTCAACTTCTACTTGCAAGTGGAGCTTTGTTTCCACTGGCACAGCTAGGGTGATTCCAGTTCAACTTCTAAACCGAGGTAAAGGCAAATAAGTTGTGTGGAGCAAAGCAAGAAACATTCAGTAAAAGACTGACACCATACTATCGCTTTCCCTAGTTTACAAGTCCTCATCGCGGTATACGCAGCCCGCGCACGACTGCTAGTGGTAGCGCGGCAGTGAAGCGCCGTTACGACGTACATCTGACATGTTATTTTTACATGATTTAGTTTATGAGTGTAGCAAAGCGCAACACTACTATGTTGGCTGAGTATACATTCGAACTGTGTGTTTCAGATCGTTCAACTTGTCTGATAGTCCATAGTCTTCTTCACTTTCTGACTGGTCTGTGAAACATAAGGTGTCCGTTAGTGTAAGCTGACCTGCCGTACGCTGCAATAAGCTAGAGTAGGTAACAAAAGTCAGTTCTTAGAGACAAGTGTCTATGTAACAATAGGGAATCAGGCAAACTTACGGCTTCTTCGACCTGAAAAGCACCTAGCTGTAGGTTGTTCTCTCATTTCGATAAACCCGATGCTATAGCAATCCTAGCGTACTAGAAAGAAACAGAACGGCCGTCATGTTCGTTAATATAAAGGTTATTTTTCCTTCAGGACACATAGTTACTAACGTATAATAAATACATCATTGATGTGCACAAACACCAAACTATAAGTAACTGCTAATTGCAATGAAGGATAGTGTTTAAATTCATCGTTAGGCAAAATTAAAACGAGTGGGGTTATGTTTGGTGTTGAGATCCAATGCCGCGCATTTTGACGGCCCAATGTCTACTGCTAATGCCATGTAGTACGCTCAGTCACACATCACGTCTAATGCGCTATTCATATACAAAGGTAATAAGGGAATTTTTCTCACTAAAAGAACAATTGTAAACTGAATTGTAGATGATGTGCTGCAATACAATATATACAGCTAGTTCTGGAGCATTCAGATTGGTCACAGGAGGAGCATTTTAATTCGCTTACCCTAAACTGGACAGGACTATTTTCGCGGTCTCACACGACCCATTTCTCTCCTGTTTAGCCCTATATTTTCATGCCAATCGCAAAATGGGCTAGACGAATGCTACCGGGTGTGTGCGAGTGAGCTAGTTCGGTATGTGAAGCGTTCACACTGGTCCGCAGAGCGGTTGTATTCGCTCATAAAAACTAAACTGAACAGAATCAAGATTTTTGCCGGCTCAAGCGCCACGTTCCCGTCCTGTTCAACCCATACGTTTAGAATACCAATCAAGACAGGAACCGAACGTGTGCTACCCGTGCCAAGCGTTCGGGCGATGTGAAATTTAGCACACACCATTTTCGACCAATCAGCTGAGTTGTGTAACTGGACGACAACGATTGCTACGTCCAATGGTTGCATTGATTAGACTCAATTCCCATTGGCTATCTACGTTATTCTTTGGTTCATCTATTCATTCGTAGCGTAGAGCAGTTACTACAAATTTCACTAATGTCGAATATCGGACAAGATGCAGTGTTGTCCTAGGTCACAGATGGTTAAACTAGGTAAATAAATGAAACGTTTCGATAACATTGGTCGTCGAAGCTCAATATTCTAAAGAATGAGCTGACGATGCTTATGGTCAATGATCTGCGAATGTTGCAGTTGGGAGAATCTTCCGTTACATTGAAGGATAATGCCGAATAATCGTGTTGATAAAATGGTCAAATAGTAGTTACTTGCTGCTTGCTTGATGTCAGTTTTTGTAGAGTCACATTTAGGAGATTTAATCAGCGAATTAATTAACAACGGGCATCTATTTTTAGCCTGCAAAGGCACTGCTCTTTTTTCCTTTTAGAAACTCGCCGAATTGATTCGAGAAATGCAATTTAACAAGGAGGATATCGGTCTGCAGAGCCTTCCTTACCAGATACCTGAGAAAGATTACCAGACACCGACCGAGACTGATGCAGACAATCCAGCCACTGGGAGTTTGCGATTGCAAATCGATTTACTTCAACGTCGTCTGGCCGCGAAAGAGGAGAGTTTAGCCGAAGCACATGAGCTATTGCGGCAGGTAGAAAAAGCGAACGAAGACATGCAAGAGAAATTTACCAAACAGAATGCTGACTTGCTTTCAAGGGTAAGTAGCATGCGTCTGGTTGCATTTGCCCTCAAGTTATTACGACCGTTTTATCATCAGAACGATAGCTTCGCATTTCTGTAAGCAGCGAAGAGTCGCCGATTGGAGGGGTAACTTTACAACAAAGGTGCCAGTTATGATAGTTGTTCCCCAACTTAACTAAATTGTGAAAACTTGTTTGGCATTGGAATTCGTCTTTAAACACACAGGAACAGCGCGCAACCTGATGCGTAGTTGAATGCCTAAAGTAATTAAGGTCTCTGCCAGCAGTGGTTAGTAAACAAACAAATAGTATCCTGCTTTTTAGCACGACGTATTGTTAGAACCCAAGGGGCAGGCGGTAACTTGTTTATTGCTAAAGTGGCTTACACCAGGTGTGTTCGTTCACACCTTGGAGGCGTCCGCTCATCTGCGTGATTTCCATGGAGTGTTCCCCAACTGGTGATTACCTCTGTGTTCACTCCTCGTGCGCATGGAACTGTAATCCTGATGTCATCTTCAACTTTGGGAAAGTCGGCAGGGCTGGCTGTTTGTGTGTCTTCTTGCACTACCACGCTACTTATACCCGGCGCAGTAGTATCTACCTTTAATCCACCACAGTATGTGCTGACACATTCAAGCAAGTAAAGAATTCGCTAGTACAACGGACACGAATGCTCGGAAAATTTACAGCAGTGATGTAAGTCGATTTCCACTTCTGACAGGTCCTACAAATTGATTGCTGTAGCACTGTGTTATATGATGCGACAAAAAGTCTTTAAAGCGATGGGCAAGCCCTTTGACATTATGAATACGGAAAGTTTCAAAGATGCTTGTTGTTAATGGGCAAATGAGCTTAACACAAGCATAAAGTATGTGTAAAAATTTACAGCACACTGACAGTTACTTTGCTCAAGGCTATTCACTAATATCGAATGGCGGTTGTGACACTTAGATGAGATTGGAGCAAGAGGAGTGCCTAGGAAAGAGAGATCCGAGAGTAAAGTGCAATATGAGTAATAGGATCATCGTCGATGTTGACGGAGAATATAGAGGCGTGTTCAGTTTGTTTCTTCCCTGGGTGCATACTTGCAGTTGATAACATTGGGTTTGGCATAGCCTTGTAAAAGGAGGAAAGTAGAGGAAGACGGTGAGTATGCAGGCTACTCCACTACAATATTCACTCTCTAAGTTAGGCTGTTTTCTGGGTCTCATATGATTGCTGGGCCTTGTTCGTGTGCTTGGCTATCGGTTATGTACCATTCCAATAGACGAATCACGCTCTATACAGTTATGTATTTGCTCTTCCTCATGAGAAATTCACGTTCTGAATTGTAAGCAAGTAGTTCAGGTAGTACTTTGTTCCAGATTCTGGTATATCTGTTAAGGAAGGAATTGGTGGACTCCGTGGTCTTCGACGCGCATTCCACTGTTGAAATTTCCTTTTTTCTTGTGTTAGACCATGAGGATCGTATTATTGTCATGCTAAGGTTGGAAACAGGCATTTTCTTATGCAGCACATTAAAGAATATGCTTAAGTTGTGCATCATACGCCTCAGCCACAGGGGAACAACTTTGAGTTTCCACACCGTTTGAAATGTGCTAATTACGGCGAGAAACCGGATTGGCATGTGTTGTGGTTGCCACAAGGAATACCATGTTAGCCCATTTGATGCTACTTTTTTAACTTTTCTCCATTTTTCCACACGTTACAGAAAATCGTTAAAAAAGACACCCGCATGACCTTGAGAAAATACTAGCAATTTTCTGCCATTGTTTATGGATGTCAAGAACAAACCATACGGTGACATGGGAATTTTGAAAAACCATGAAACCGCATTTTCTGAGCAAAAACAAGGTTGTTTGTAGATTTAAGGGGACAGCTCTATTATTGCTTTCAAAGAAATAATATGACAGAGAGTAACTCATTGTAAAGGTATATGTAGCTCACATTTACACAAAATGTGCGTTCCATCTTCCGTGGCTGGTATGCCGCAAAACACGCCATCCACTGGACAGAGTAGATTAACGTACTTTATTTGTTCGTCGCAGCATCATGGAGAAAAACGGACAGCGTCCAATATTACTTTTTACTAAAAAAATTGATTCTGTATTAATCAACACTTCGGTCCAATTGATCCACTCCTCCCATGGAAGTGTTATAGTTGCTAACGCTACCACGTTGTTCAACAATTAAGGGTTTTCTGCCCTTTACCAATCATCTCTTCAGTTGTGTTAGAGGATAGGCAACAACAGAATTGTTATTATTGATCACAAGGAAATTAGTATTCCAAGACAAGACGAATACATCATCTTGCTCAGCAAACCTATAGTCATAAGTAACCCTGTTGCGTTTTCTCAGGACCCTCCTATCGATGGGTACTTGTCCGTCCTAGTTGCCCGAACTGTCCCCGTTGCTATTATGCTTTTGTTACTTGTGGCTTTCGTGAGAGGCAAACCTGTAAAAAATATTGTCGAAGAAGGTGTGATAAGACCACTGCTTTGAGAGCTTGTGCTTTACTCCCATAACAATGTCATATCCCATACCAAATGATTTGTCAGAATTGGTCACAGCACCGTGGTAGAGATCCAAATAGTAATCGTAGACTGTTGGTGTTGCAATCACCCATTATTTCTACCCGAATCTGATAGGCTTACGCTGAGGCATTGCTCCAGTCCATGACGGCCGTAATATGGTTTCATAATTTCATCCACGCACAAATTCTCTTCATTGAGGAACGTTTTCCTAAATATTTCATTAAGTAGGGTATAAATCGTTAATACGTATGCAAATTTGTCATTTGCTTGGAGATTGTCATGATCTACCAGACAGAGATACTTCATGACTGTGTCAAATCTGTTCAAATCCATGATCTGACTGAGGGCTGCCTAGTGGACATCTGGTTCAGGACCCCAATACATGTGTCTTCGTGTTAATGGATTAGAGCCAGAGATAAAAAGAATAGCTAAAAATGCATGGGTTTCAGCTGTGGTCATACTCAATTAGTGGTCACTTTCTGAAAGGGGATGCCCAATTGGCTGCCTTATGCTGTGCGCGGTAACAGAGTTAATAAGCAAGCTTTCAAATGGTCTATGCAGCGTATGATCCTTTAAGATAACAAGCGCACATTCAGACCATTGTCTTTCCTCCACAGGCTAGTTCTGGTATCCTTTGGAGCTTTTCTTGTGGAAATGATCACAGGGACAGAAACTTCCCTATGTAAACCAATATTGCTGCTTTCTGGTTCTTCTTTGTATGCTTCGCCCTCTTTGTGGACTGTAGTCCCTGGGTTACGAGGCAGTGCCAAACCATCTCAGCATCAATGAATAACTGCCTTCCTGATAGATCATCAATAGATCCAGCATCCCGAATAACTCCATTGATATCACCTTCAAAAGTCTTTTGTCCGTTACCCAAAAACTTGATGTGTATGATATCTTCCAGAACGCCAGTTTCTTTTAGCATAATGACATGATCTTGTACAAAATATATTTCAAGATTCCTACTGAAGAAACAGATGTACTTAATTAAAATATAGTTACTAATTTCACTACAGACAATGACATTAAGAAAGGAGTAGCATATTATTACAATCCAAATGTTTCAGGCTGCAATAGTACAAGCATATTGCATAAGAATATTTATAAGGGCATATTTTTAATCATGTTATCAATAACTGAGCTATTCAAAGCTGCATATCAAGGTATCATTCGTTGCTGACATCGTTTAAAAAGGGACAGATGGTTGAACCTCACGAATGCATTAACTAGCACACATTTCACCTGGTTATATGTGACAATGTTCTCTAGACGTATAACGACATGAATATGGCAAATTGTTGGTGCATTTCAATGAAGAATTACACCAAAGTCGTTGGACTTTCCATTTTATCCACCTTGTGTTCATACAAGAAAATATCGTATTTTCAAAATAAACTTCGACTGGACAAAATGATTTCAAAGTGGTGGGGATTATTATGTTATCTAAAGTCGAAAACAAAGAAATTATAAATAATAAAATATTGCAATGCCTTAAGTCACCTTGAAATAAGGGTCCTTTGAAAGGAACACCAGCAGCAAATTGTTTAGGCCCTACTGACCTAATGCTGGTTGCAGAAGTTATGGATCGGCGTACTCTTGTCACTTTTGGTTTACGTGCTACGGAAATGCACAAGTTAATCCTTGGAAGGAATGGCACAGACCTTGCTTCTTTTAACTAATAGTATGGTACCATACTGGTTGCAGAGACTCACTTTGCAAAAACCGAACACTGCCTGAAAATCACTCAACCCACGAGGAAATTCCGATGGGCACCAGGAACATGCTAGATTACATTGTTTGAGTGACTCGATGCAGTTGATTCCGGACTTGTGCAACCGGTGTTAAAAAAGTATGACAAATTAGCCGAGTGAACAATTTTAAATGTGCACTTGAGCTAGTGTGTAGTTTGGGGCTGCTCGCAACCATGTTACACCTAATGTGCTTTCAAACGATCCCGTACTTGAACACCAGTAACTAGGTCAAATTCAACAGACTGCAATGCACATACATAGCTGCATAGGGTGTCATCAACATCTTGAGCAAACTTCGGCCACGATACGCAGTGATGGTCTGGACCTTATCACCACAACCGTACTTGGTTGCAGACACAGCTTATTGGTCTTCATTTCGCGCTTGTTCTAAAAAGTCATCCAATCAATGAGGCAGGGCAAACAATATAATATTGCGTCGACCCACTGTGCAAATCCTTGCATGGTCCGAAGACCCTTCACTGCATCCAAATCATTTTAATACCTTCTTTCTGGAACCCCATTATAGCCAACCTCATTTTAGTCAGAGATGAATCCCCACAACTCATTTGATTGGAAAAGAACATAGCGTCCCAAATGTTGACATGCTTATCATTCTAGAGATCTTGGGAATCACAACCTCCCTAAGTGATCAGTTATTAGTCGACTTCCGAGTGGTCATTACGAACATTCGTCGGTGATCTATGCTAATTCACCCACTAAGTGCAAAAT